ACTTTAGGCATGAAAGGCAATTGGGGGGCTTTGGGTTAATCACCAGGAGATGGTGAGTTCTAGTCCCACCTTAGGCACAAAAGCCAACTGGGTAACTAAGTCACTCTCTTTCATCTCAATTCATCCCTCTTATTTTGTGGAGAAAAAAAAGAGAAGGAAAGAGCATTGGGTATGTTCGCTGCCTTGATAAAAATAAAAAAGGTGGGATAAAAAAATAAATTTAATGTTATCTAGTTGGGTAAGAAATATCTGCAAGCAAATAACGAAGCTTAGAGAGCACCAAGGATGCCGCAGTGTTTGATCCATCACCAAGTCTCCTATTTCAACACTACATTTCCTGTTTATAAGGTGGTCCTAAGGTCTTCAAAATAGTATAAAAGTATAAAATACACACTTTTGAGTGATGTGCAACCAATATCCACATACCTGTAAAACGAAAGTTAATCGATTCTGGAAGACCTAGAAGAGATGAAAAGGTTAGGAAAACACAATTGTTTGCAGCCCAGAGAATCATACAATATAAAATGAAATTGATCCACTATACAGGTATGATGTCACAAAGAATTTGTGGAAGGGAAAAGACACAAATCCAACTGTATTTGGAAATACTGGCTGCATTCTCAGTAGATGCAAGACCACCATTTTTAAGATAATTAAGACAGAAAAATAGTTTTCTATTTGGGTGAAGATTTCAAAATTTGTTTTATTTTGAAGCAAAATGTGGTAGGCCTCCATGAGTTGACAGATAACAGTTAATCAGAGTTGGAAGGGACCTTGTAGGTCATTTAGTCCAACTCCCTGCCCAAGCAGGAGATCCTACACCATTTCTGACAGATTGGAGTCCAATCTCTTCTTGAAAGTGTCAAGTGATGGCGCTCCCACACCTTCCGAGGGAAAGCTGTTCCATTGGTTGATTGTTCTCACTGTCATAAAATTTCTCCTTATTTCCAGGTTAAATCTCTCCTTGTTCAATTTCCATTATTCCTTGCCTGGCTACAGGAACTTTAGAAAATAGCTTAATCCCCTCCTCTCTGTGGCAGCCCTTCAAATATTGGAAGATGCTATCATGTCTCCCCTGGTCCTTCTCTTTAGTAAAGAGACTAGCCAAGCCCAGTTCCTGCAACGCTTCTTCATATGTTTTAGTCTCCAGTCCCCTCATCATCCTGGTTGCTCTTCTCTGTACTTTTTCTAAAGTCTCAACATCTTTTTTATAATTTGGTGACCAAAACTGGATGCAGTACTCTAAGTGTGGTCTTACTAAGGCTTTATAGAGTGGTATTAGTACCTCCCTTGATTTTGATTGCATCCCTCTGATAATGCAACTTAGGATTGCATTAGCTTTTTTGGCTGCTGCTGCACACTGCTGGCTTATATTTAGCTGGTTGTCCTCTAAGACTCCAAGATCCCTCTCACAGTTACTGCTATTAAGCCTGGTTTCACCAGTCTATAAGTGTACTTTGGGTTTTTCTTGCCTAAGTGTAGGACTTTACTTTTCTCTACATTGAATTCCATTTTGTTAGATACGGCTCAGGGTTCTAGTCTGTCAAGATCCATCTGGATCTTGAGCCTATCATCTTGGGTGTTAGCTATTCCTGCCATCTTAGTATCATCTGCAAATTTGGTAAGTTCCCCTTCTATTCTCTCATCTAAGTCGTAAATGAAGATATTGAAGAGTACTGGGCCTAAGACGGAACCTTGTGGCACCCCACTGCTTAACTTCCCTCCATGTAGACTTAGACCCATTAAGGACTACTCATTGAGTACGATTTGTCAGCCAGTTGCGAATCCATCTGATGATGGTGCTATCTATCCCACTTTTTTCTAGCTTACCAGAAAAAAAAGTTAGAGCAGCGGTGTCAAACTCAAGGCCCACAGGCCAGATCTGGCCCGCAATATGGTTCAATCTAGCCCACGGGGCCATCTTGGTCTACTCAATGTGAAGAGGGAACATGCCAGCAGTTTGGGGAATAGCGTCAAACTAACCACGCCCACCCAGTCAGCCACACCCACCCAGTCGGCCACGCCAACTCCCCCCCCCCGAGGTCAACCATAGCCTTGATATGGCCCTCAATGAAATTGTGTTTGACACCCCTGAGTTAAGAGGAAGTCCTAAAACTAGAAATTCTCCAGTCTTCTGCACCTCCAACAACGTTTCTCAGTGCAGTGGTGGAATACAAGTGTGGCCATTCATACTTCCAAATTCAATATTTACTGCCTGGTTCACTGGAGGGACAGAAATCAACCAGAAATCAATGTTGAGAAAGCCAATGAATCATCTCTTCTTGTACATTTTTAAAAGCTCTCTAGCATTTCCAGTTAAAAGTCCTCGAAAAAAGAGAAGCTGGATAAAAGAGTCCTTAAGGACCAGTTTCTATCCTTCCTCTGGTTTTTTTTTTAGATAATCGATCTTGCCTCTTTATTAAATACCTTTTCTCTATCTTTTCCCCTCTCTTGCTTCCCACCAGGATTTTGAGAAATGATTTAATAAAGAGAAAGGTTTTTTTTAGAACTGGGCTTTGGCGTTTCAAAAGCTTTTTTGGGCTTCTCCCATGAATGCTGATAACTTGGATAATCCGGTCCTACGTGTTAGGCAGAGTAAGGTGGCAGATTTGGACTGTCATAAAAAGACAGCCAATTAACACAGGTAGTCCTCGACTTACAACAGTTCATTTTGTGACCGTTCCAAGTTACTACAACGGCACTGAAAAACGGGACTTATGACCATTTTTCACACTTATGGTGTCAGGATTCCGGAAGATACCCCAATTTAAATCATGAGTCTTGAAACAAACTTCCAAAACTTCAAAATGATTTATTGGGAGTTAACGTGCGGCACTTCCTGGATGTAGCCGATTCTGAGACACATAATTCATTGTCATCCTTGACCCTGGTTTTCCCCCACTCCTTGGGTGTATCGTAATTCATATTCTCCAATGGGACACATCCATAGCACAGAGTCATCAATCATGCTCTCCAGTTAGAATTTAGTGCTGCAGAAACTTCAGTCACCTAGTTACTATCTTTGAAAACATTTATGGAATGCACTTTCATTTTTGCAAGCTGCTGCACTGCTTCCCCCCCCCCTTTCTATTGGCAACTCTAAAAAGACCATAGAAACAGTTTATGAGTTGAAATATGGCTGTCGTGGCATCCCCATGATCACATGATCAAAATTCAGACACTTGGCATCTGACTCATATATATGACCGTTGCAGCGTCCCCAGGGGTCACTTGATCCCCTTTTGAGACCTTTCTGATGAGCAAAGTCAATGTGGGAAGCCCAGATTTCACTTAACAACTGTGTTCCTAATTCAACAGCTGCCGTGATTCTTTTAACAATGGTGGGAAGAAAGGTCGTCAAATGGGGCAAAATTCACTTCACAAATATCTCGCTTAACAACAACAGAAAATTCGGGGCTCAACTGTGGTCGCAAGTCGAGGACTTCCTGTAGTTATCGAAATGAGTTTTGAAGGATTTGTACTGGGCAGAATGGAGAAATGTGGCTTCTTGGATGCTTCTGATGAAACTTGAGTACAAGTACCTCAACTTATAGCCTTGGCAATGACGACCACAATTTCCACCGTTAAACAAGGCGGTTGTTGAGCTCGTCCAATTTCTATGTCTTTTTTTTTGCCACCATCGATAGACGAATCACTACAGTTGTTAAGTGAATCAGGCAGTCATTAAGCAAATCTTGGGCAGGGGGTCGGACTAGATGACCTACAAGGTCCCTTCCAACTCTGATTATCTGTTATCTGTTAAATCTGGCTGCCCCCATTGACTTTGCATACTGTAGGCTGGGTTGGGTCACAAATGGGGATCATCTGACTTTGGGATGCTACAACTGTTGTGAATATATATATCCTGGTTGACACAAGTGTCCAAAATATTCTAGGCTGCATTAATAGAGGGATAGAATCAAGATCACTTGAAGTGTTAATAGCACTTTATAATGCCTTGGTAAGGCCACGCTTGGAATACTGCATGCAGTTTTTGGTCAGCCACGATGTAAAAAAAAGATGTTGAGTCTCTAGAAAGAGTGCAGAGAAGAGCAACGAGGATGATTAGGGGACTGGAGGATAAAACATACGAAGAACGGTTGCTGTAACTGGGTATGTCTAGTCTGATGAAAAGAAGGACTAGAGGAGACATGATAGCAGTGTTCCAATATCTCAGGGGCTGCCACAAAGAAGAAGGAGTCAAGCTATTCTCCAAAGCACCTGAAGGCAGGACAAGAAGCAATGGGTGGAAACTAATCAAGGAGAGAAGCAACCTAGAACTAAGGAGAAAATTCTTAACAGTGTGAACAATTAAACAATGGAACAGCTCGCCTTCAGAAGTTGTGGGTGCTCCATCACTGGAGGTTTTTAAGAAGAGACTGGACAACCATTTGTTTGAAGTGGTATAGGGCTTCCTGCCTAAGCAGAGGGCTGGACTAGAAGACCTCCAAGGTCCCTTCCAACTCTGTTACTCTATTTTTTCAATATGATCATGTGACGATGGGGATGCTGCAACGGTTGCAAGTGTGAACATCCGCCATAAATCACTTTTTTTCAGCGCTGTCGTTACTTCGAGTGGTCACTAAATGAACAGTTGTAAGTCGAGGATTACCCCTAGTTTGGTATACTATCCTTAACCAAGGTGGGAAGACGGGGATAAAATGCAGCTCTGGTCCAAGCTTCAGGATCTTTGGGGATCTTATTTAAAAGCAACTCAGGATTTTAACAACTGGGGGTGTGGGGGGGGAGTATTTTTAAGTACCTTAGGCCTGTTTATAGCAAAGGCTGACACAAAATCTATCTTTAAAATGTGAAAAAAAAGGAGTACTTTTGAAAAATGCCCTGCTTTTCAGCTTTTGGCAGCTCGTTTCAGTACAGCTCTCATTCATTTTGATGGATTGTGCGCCCTTGTGCTTCGCTCCTGGCAGGCTAAACACAGCAAGCAAGGCATGCTGGTTCCTATTGGACTTTGTATGTTTGTTCCTTTTGCAGACATAAAAATAGCAGCGCCTTGGACTTGCAACGCATCTAAGGTGTAACATCTAAGCAATGCCTAATAATGCAAGCAAATTTGATAGGACCTGGGGGAATTTCATGAGCTGATATTAATTCATCAACTGATACTTGTTAGGGATAACATTGTTTACCCTAACTGGTTTGGGTAAAAATAATAAATAAGTTATCATGGTTTGTTGGTTAAAGTGTGTGTAACTTTAACTATAAGAATGTAATTAAGGGTGTGGTTGTAAAAGCACCATAAAAGAAGCAAGTCAATTGCAGCTCTCTCTCTCTGGCTTAATGATCCCTAATTACTGGATGGATTGATGACTGCGTTTTTCCTTACTGGAACGGAGGAGAGAAAGGAGTGTTGATTTCTCAACGGAGAGAAGAGATAATACGGACTGATTTATTGTAAGTGAACTGACATTGGCTGTTCAACACGAACTTTGCAAATTGAGTATCCCCGACTGGACTGACTGAAATGATACATGACTAATGGACCGTTTATTTTGACTATGCTATAATTCCTAATGGAATAAACTATATTTTTGATAGCACAAGCGTATCTGTATTTTACTGCGTGTTAACTAAAATACAAACTTATCTCACACATTTACCTGTCTGCCTATCTGACTACGCTACACATTCTGTTTAGTTTGTTTTCCTTAACACTCGTTGGGGAATTCAGGCTTAACAATACTGATCTGATGATTAGCAGTATAATTGCTGCAAAATTTGATTGTGACACACACACACACACGGCCCCACAAATCATGGATGGCCCTATATTATTAGACAGAACAGGGAAATTATGAATGGGCTTCACTGCAAGGCAGAATTAATATTCACCCAACAAACTGGAATGGATTGCCACATCACGAAGAGGCTGGTGGTTTAACTATTCTTCATGATTTCCTTTGGTGGAGTCCTAAATTTCAGGATATTGGACTTGGCATTACCTTGCTACCTAACAGAGGGGCTAATAGAAGCATCATGTTCTGCGTTCACCAAGCACGCCTGGAAGATGAATCTGAATGACATTTCTGGCTTAAGACTAACATTTTTAGCATTCTATAACGTAAGACTAACATACGACTAAAATGCCATAACATTTCTTGCACAAAAGGCAAGACAAAAAAACAATGGATGGAAACTAACCAAGGAGAGAAGCAACCTAGAACTAAGGAGCAAATTCGTAAGGGTGAGAGCAAAAATGTTAGTCTTATGACCTTTTTAACATTCTAGCACAGTGGTGGCTAACCTTTTTGGGCTCCCGTACCAAAAATTGTGTGCGCGCTCGCATGCCAGCACCCAGAAGGCAATGTGCCCCGCCCCCCCACCCATGCACGCGCAACAAACCCCCCCCCCACCGTGCCCCTTACCTGCACTGCGCATGCGTGCTCCTTCCAGCTGATTTTCGGCCCATTTGAGGCCTTTTTTGGCCTCCCTCAGGCTTGAGGGAAGCCTCTGCAGCCTCGGGAGACTGAAAAACAGGCCTGTTTTGTCACTTCAACATGGGCTGTTTTTCATCCTCCAAAGGCTGCAGAAGTTTCCCTTGAGACTCAGCGAGGCCGAAAAAGGCTTCAAATGGGCTAAAAATCAGCTGGAAGGTGTGTGCACACGCAGTGCAGGTAAATTTGGCTGGGGCTCGCACGCCCACACAAATGGCTCCGCGTGTCACCTGTGGCACCATGTGCTATAGGTTCGCCATCACGGTTCCAGCATAAGGCTAAACATAAGACGAAAATGCCATCACATTTCTTGCACCAAAAGGCAAGACTAGAAACAATGGATGGAAAGGAGAGAAGCAACCTAGAACTAAAGAGAAATTTCCTGATAGTGAGAACAATCAAACAGTGAAACAGCTTGCCTTCAGAAGTTGTGGGTACTCTAACAGTGGACATCAGTTACCCTTATCATAATGCTTTGTTTTGAGGACGAAAAGTGTGTCTTTTTTGGCAGAACATTTTTAAAGAGCCATAGATCCTTCATAAGTATTTGACCCATGTGCTTCCTTGGTTTTCTTATGGCTGGGATCTTAAATCCTTCAAATATTGTTAAAATCTATTGCTCAACCTTCCCACCGTTGTCTAGATCGATGTTTCTCAACATCACAAGATGGTGTAGACTTCAACTCCCAGAATTCCCCAACCAGCCTATTGACCTCCACTCATCTTAAGGTTAGTATAGAATAACAGAGTTGGAAGGGACCTTGGAGGTCTTCTAGTCCAGCCCTCTGCCTAGGCAGGAAATCCAATACCATTTCAGACAAAAGGTTGTCCAATCTCATCTTAAAAACTTCTGGTGTTGGAGCATCCACAGCTTCTAGAGGCAAGTTGTTCCACGGATTAATTGTTCTGTCAGGAAATTTCTCCTTAGTTCTAAGGTTGCTTCTCTCCTTGATTAGTTTCCATCACTTCTTGTCCTGCCCTCAGGTGCTTTGGAAAATAGCTTGACTCCCTCTTCTTTGGGGCAGCCCCTGAGATACTGGAACACTGCTATCATGTCACCCCTAGTCCTTCTTTTCATCAAACTAGACACACCCAAGTCAAACAATCATTTTTTATATGTTTTAGCCTCCAGTCCCCTAATCATCCTTTTGCTGAGAAATACTGGTTTAGAGAACATTGGGGAGGTATGTGTTAGGGATAACATTGGTTACCTAACTTAGTTTGGGTAGAATAATATATAAACTATGTTAGTGAGTTTAAGTGTATGTATCACTTTAAACTTTAAACCAAGTTTTTGGGTGCGGTTGTAAAATCACCATAAGAGGGAGCAAGAGAGCTCACTGTTTCCCTGGCTTATACTGGAATGCTGACAATGATGGATTGATGGTGATAACTGCGTGTTTGCTGAGAGAATAAAAGGGGTTTGATTTTTCTTCATATCTCTGACTGCAAAAGAGATATATCACTGGACTGATTGATTGTAAGTTTAATGAACTCTTTTTCGACACTGGACTTTGCAAACTGAATAACCCCCGGACTGACTGAACTTAGTGTATGACATATGGACTTTTGACTATGCTATAACTCTTGCTGGAATAAAAACTATTTAACTTGCACAGTGTATCTGTCTTACTGAGTGTAAGCTACTACAACGTTTTGTCTCACATATCTGCCTGCCTGCAAGACTGCCGTTGCACGTTCTGCTAGGGTGTATATCCCTAACAGTATGGATGGAAATCTATGAATGAGTGCTAGTTAGTGGGTTAAATTCTTACCAGCAAAGGAGAATTCCATCAGCTCTCTAATATGCGGTCCAGCACTAGGTGGACGATAGACAATTTTGCCATTGTTGATGTCCGTTTGGGTAAAAGTAGTTACCGGGATGAATGGTTTGTCTCTGTGCTCCACCATGCCTGTTACAGTGGAGAGAGAGTTTATTTATTTCTTAGTTAATCTCAATAGACTATAAACAATCCATCATTGTTAGGTAAATAAGTACAGTAGCCAAATATTGAACATAAATTCTAACAAATATGTTTTCTATAAGACTGTAATTATGTTCTTCCAAAGTTCTGCTGATGGGTCCATAACTTCAGAGTGGCTTTGTCCACAACACTTAAACCTGCATTCACTTAATAATTATAGAACCTTCAACCAGCCATTCCATCTTGCTTAACTCCTGTTGATACATGTGGCTGTCTAGTTTCTGATTAACCAATCAGAATTTCTGTGGATTTTATATGAGGCTAATCAAAACCCAAGGCTTGCAGTGCTCATGGCCACCAAAATCTCTATTATCAGAGCGTTAAATGTGAGTCTTTGGAACTTGTCAATTTTGCTTCAAATATGATATGAATAAGTATTCTTTCCCAGTTCAGATTTTAATCCCAGTAAGAGCATTCTCTTCCATTCAACATCTGATGTTCAATAGTTCTGCAGAAACAACCCAGTCCTCAATTCACCAGCCTGAGAAGTGCAAAAAGGATGTGTGAGAATTCAGATTTGCACCCTATTTCTCAGTTTTGAAGGGTAACCATTTTGAAGGGTAACCATCCAAGTCTCTCTAATTAAGATGGAGGCAAACATTCAGCTATAGCAATAACACTTATATACTGCTTCATCGTGCTTTACAGCCCTCTCTAAGAAGTTTACAGAATCAGCATACTGCCCCGAACAACCTGGGTCCTCATTTTACGACCTTGGAAGGATGGAAGGCTGAGTCAACCTTGAGCTGGTCAGAATCGAACTGCTGGCAGTCAGCAGAGTCAGCCTGCAATACTGCAATCTAACCATTGTGCCACCATGGCTCCTTCAACACTTCAGTTTTGACCAAAGAAAGTTCAATAAGTTCCCAAGAACTTGTTAATTTATGAATGCTTAATTTATAAATACCTTCACAATCCTTCAACTTACCCTCCCTCACTGCCTGGTTACCTGCCTACCGGTTTCAGTTGTAAAAACAATCACAGAGGAAAAAAATGTATATATGAAATGATCTTGCCTTGATTTGGAGGCAAGGGTACAGTCACGTTGTACGTGATTTCTTCACTTTGAGTTTGCGAGTTGACAAAAGACAGTTGATGGGGTTGAATAGGTGTCACACGATCTTCTAGTGCCTAAAAGATAAGATATTTACCAAATAAACGTGTACTTATACACCATCTTGACTTTTTTTGACTATCTTCGCCCTATAGATGGCGCTGGTCCATTTGCATCGCACTCGTGTCAGAAGCTCCAAGGCTCTTCCGGGTTGAAAAGATCAGAAGGTGAGATCACCGTTGCCTGGAGTATGCCCAGTTGGAGTCTCCTTTCATGTCCCCGGCAGGAGCTGGAGCAAAGGGTGAGAGCTCACCCTTTCTCATAGCAGCATCGGGTCTTGAACATGGGCTTGCTGCTTGTCAACCCAGTGTCCTAACCATGCGAGCTATGATGCTCCTCAGCTGGTCCATTAAGTATACAAAGCTTGTATAATCCAAGTTTGTATAAATTCTCCAATAAAAACATAAAGTACAGCTCTGTTATCAGTGACCCCTGTTTAAAGAAACATGCATTTTGGGAGAAATGTAATTCTGGACTTACTGTCATGTGAAAAGAAGATCTGGAGGAGGACACAGGTGACGCCAGGTGAGGTGGTAAGATGGCAATGTTGAACAGGTGGGTCTCAAGATGAGTCTGTGGAAAACCTGCACCAGAGACCTGCAAAGATGACATCACACAAAGGAAACAGAGGCAGTGAGACTTTTATGCATCATGACGGATAGGTTCATAGTGCAGTTATGAGCAGTGGTGAGATTCAACCAATGTAACAACCGGTTCGGTGAGGGCGTGCACACTCTGCATTTTGAAAAGCCCATTTCAAAGTCTTATACTTACCTTCTACTGCAGCACAAAGTGACTAAAACAGCTGATGCGCGGCAAACCGCTCTGCCACGTGAATCAGCTCTGCTAAAAAAAAACAGGAAATAAAGCACAAGGAAAGAGCAGGGGTGGATGGGCGGGGCCAAATGCTCACCGGAACTACCACTTCGCTTAAACCAGTCTGAACCGGTAGAATCCCACCACTGGTTATGAAATGGTTGGAGCAGAGAGATTACAGATTACAGATAGTCTTCAATTTACAACCATTTGTTGATGGTATGCAGCCCTCCCGAGCTCCGTTTTCACTGGCAGAGGGTTGCAGGAGGCTGTGGCAGCTGAAAACGGAGCTCATTTTCACTGGCAGAAGCACCGCAAGTCGGTCCTTCACTGATTCCAGGAGGGCCCCGTGGGCCAGATCAAAGGATCCCTCTGGGCCGGATCCAGCCCCCGGCCCTTGAGTTTGACACCCCTGTTTTAGACCAATAAAATTATAACATCTATAACAGGAACCATTTTTTTTCCACATGTGGGGTGAAAATTTGATGTTCTGATGTTCCAAATAAATACACAGATAACAAGGCAAAAATAATGTTGGCCCTGTCTTTTTTGATATAATTCTTTAAATAATGTGTTTTCTTCTGAAATGTGTGCAATTGATTAAATCAACTCTGCAATGTCAGATATCTTAATATCCCAGAGGAGTTGTGACTTCAATTAGGATTAATCTGGAAGTATTTTTAGAACTGAGGCAAAAGGAAACTATTTCTTTTTTTTTTTTTTGCCCCCTGAAACAATGATCCAAAGATTTCATTTTAAAATAGCTTAAAAAGAAAACCACAGTGAGAAATACACCTGGGGGATGGGGAAATCTTACAGTGTAGGTTGCTGGCATAATGATAAAGCTACTTCTAAGAAGAAAAATTAGATGCAAATAAATTATGTAAGACAATAATTATAGGATCAATCTTTAAATATGTCCAATTTTGAAGCTGTAAACTATAAAAAGGTAAGCCTCTTTTTTTTCCCAAAGAAATCAGAAACATTAAGAAAAAATGCTGCCTGTTTGTGATGGTACATTTGCACACAAAAAGAACAGAATTGAAAAGTAGATACATACATAAAATTTCCTTCAAATTACCTGTTATGTCAAACAAACTTGCTAGAATCATCCCCTATGTACATTTGATTGAGATTTTAAGATATTTCTAAAGGTCTTTTAACCTAGCACACAAACTATTAAAACACATACATATTTTCACCCATTCTTCCTTCTTGGGCATTGCCAAAAATCAGAAAACTAAGGTAAACCACAGCATTTATCACATTATTAATTTATGACTATTACTAATTCTGATTGGTTTTATAATATAGTGGTATTGGGGTTTAGATTTATTTCTGATAGCATATCTGAATTCAAGAATGATAATTGTTTCTGTGAAAAGGAGGCGCTTGTGTATATGTAAAATCATTCTCCGATATAGTGGGGTTTATTGATAATCCCAATTGTGAGTTTTGGAGTAAATATTAGAGATGATCCTACTATTGATAATGCTGTCTGTATCACTCTTTCCCTAAGGGAGAACTCTGTTAAAATTTAATTAAGGCTCACTCTCCCAGTATGTGTAGTCCTTGAGTTATGACTGTAACGGAGCTTGGTCATCACCTTGCAAGTCTTGATGGTTGTAGAAAGGGACACTCGTGTGACTGACTCGATTTTACGTCCTTCTTTTGTGATGATTGTTAAGTGAACCCAATGTCAGTGTTACAAGTAATACACCCAGTAGCAAACAGAAACAGGTAGATTCCTCAAAGAACCGTTTTATTTGGAGTTATCATATTAGCACAGACTGGTGAAAACCGACTCTGAAGGTTCCCACGGTTTTCACCTAATTAAAAGTAAAAGTTCCCCCCTTTTCCCAAACAGTCACATGGTCCAATCAAGGTGCTGTCCGGTTGCTTGGTAACATCACTCCTCCTCTCTTCAGTCACCTGTGTTGGAACATCCTTGGTTCCCAGGAGAATGTATTTTGTTTTGGCTACAAAACCCCAGCTATCTCTATTCTCTCTCCCTCCCTATTCCCCATCTCCTTTGTGGCAATACTGAAACCTCAAAAATGGCCTTCATCAGGCCAGCTTCAGAGCTGACATTTAAGCAAAATGCTAGTTTTCAGCAAAAACCTACATCGGGGTCACATGATCACAAGACATGGTTGTAAATGCGGACCAGTTACCAAGTGCTCAAAATGTGGAAGAGGGCAGAACTTCAGAACTAGGTCCCGAGTACATTTTGGGGGATCCAGTGTATCTTTGAAGAGAAGGCTACCTGTAGGTGGATTCCAAGTTCTTTCAATCAAATGCTGTCACCTGAATGGACACCGAAACCATGCCTTCTCTGTTAGCATCCCTACTCTCTGGAAGCAGAATGGGACAACTTGCCCTAGCCAATTTGCTGTGGTCACCTCACCACAACCACCTCATCATGGCCAACTCACCCTGGCCAACTCGCCACAGCCAACTCATTGCAGGACAATTCACCGCAGGACAAATTTCAATTCAAGTTAATTATTTAAACTAGATTAACAGAAATTGTTTCAATTTTTGTCATTTAGTTTTCATTTTGTTCCTCCTTTTGCTTCCTTTCTTTAAATATTCTATTCCACCATTTCTTTGACATAAGTATAACCCTTGTCCTGCAGTGAGTTGGCCCACAGCAAGTTGGCCATGTTGGCTGCAGCAAGTTGGCCATGGAGAGCTGGCTGTGGAAAGTTTACCATTGTGAGTTGGCTGTAGTGAGTTGTCCACACAGCAAATTGTCATAGACCCCTTCTGGAGGAGTATCCCCTCAGAGCAATATTTCCTACCCTTGGCACCTCTGAGGGGTGTGGACTTCGGCTCCCAGAATTCCCCAGTCAGCTAGAATTCTGGGAGTTGAAGTCCACTCATCTTAAGCCTGCCCAGGTCGAGCAACACTGCCCTAGAAATACAGATGGCACTTCATTGTCCCGTGATTCAGGAAGTCTTTTCACATCTACCTGTGTTTCCAGGCCTCAGGTGAGGAAGCCTATGCAGCTCCTGTCATGTTTTTAATCCTGCTTCTATCGTTTTTATAGATACGATGGTTTTGGTCTGGTCTGCCCTGTTTTGGCTTGCGTGCTTTTAATTGACTTTTATTTACTTTATAACATAATAACAAAGTTGAAAGGGACCTTGGAGGTCTTCTAGTCCAACTCTCTGCTCAAGCAGGAAAGCGTATACCATTTCAGACAAATGGTACAACCTACAGTGTTGGAGCACCCATGATTTCTGGACGCAAGTTATTCCACTGGTATATTGTTCTAACTGTCAGGAAATTTGTCCTTAGTTCTATGCTGCTTCTCTCCCTTAATTGTGTGGCCCACCAGCTGCCAGCAGAGCTGGTGGCAGATTCGGACGATAAGGAGGTTGGGGACGAACGTGAGCCAGTTCTGCAGCCTGGGGAAGGCTCTGATGGACGCTCAGCATCGGACACAGAGATAGAGCCAGGGCCGTCTGGCATTTCCCAGCCAGAGAGGCAGTTGCCTTTGGAGTCAGAGATGAGTGAGGAGGAGGAACATCTGGGGACTGTTCCAGATGCGCGCATGCGCAGAGCAGATAGGAGAGGTGAACAATGGGGAACAATGAGCCGGCTCAGGAAGCAAAACAAACATGGATGCTGACTGGCCCCTTCCTGGCTGGGGAATAAATAGGAGGAAAGGGGAGTGGTTTGGTTGTCGCAGACAACCATTGGCATTTCTGGAAAGTTTGCTCCTTGTGTGTTTCATGGTTTCAGGTGCTTTGGAGAATAGCTTGACCCCCTCTTCTTTGTGGCAGCCCCTGAGATGGATCCGGTAAACCATCCACAGTCCTCTGCAAAGTGCAGCTACAATAAATGTAATCCATTACTAATAAATAAACAAAACACCACCATAGTGCCTTATCAGAATGCATCCTACAACCCACACACATCCCACAGCAGATAAGCGGCTATGCCACCGATCCCCTGAATCGATAGAAGATTTCAGAAGGGCCGCCCCAAGGAACGACAGAGAAATCAATAAATGGCAACACGCAGACACCATCCTCTTACGCGACGTGAAAGAAATGTGGCATGGAATATTTCCTGACTCAAAAAAAGGAAACAGAGATCGTAGGGTTTCCTAGACCACCATCAAGATTCGGTCAAGTGAACCCTTGGGGGAAAAGTCCATGGAAAGGGAAGTAAATGACAGATCTGTAAGTGAGCTTGGGGAGATCAATTCTGCGAGTGGTGGCTGGAAACGCAGTTCCCAGAATATTAATTTTAAAAAATCATCCATCTGCATTTTCTCAGCAGCCGCTAGTCCTTCATCTGCAGTCTGGCAGATAGATTATTGTTTTGTGATAGAATAAAGCTACGCACAGCTTCTCTCCACCTCCCTACACACACACACACAAGAAACCACACAAAAGTTTAACTACATAATTATTTCCACAGTCGCAATATAGTTCTTCAGAAAAGCCCAAACTGCGACCTTCCCTTCCATCATGCTACACACTGAAAAATGCATACAGGACAACCACAAGTCCAAGATCTCAGATAACAACAGCTGTTGTTAACAGTTAACAACATGTTAACAACAGCATATTTGGGCTCAATTGCAGTTGTAAGTCGAGGATTACCTGTACAGCTGCGCGCAGCTTTTCTCCAACTTTCTACACAGACACACATAAAAAAAGTTTAATTATGTAATTATTTTCCCAGTCACAAAATAATTCTTCAGGAAACTCCAAACTGCAACCTTCCCTTCCATCATGCTGCGAACAGAAAAATTGCACACCACAACACAGCTATTAATTTTAAAAGGATCTGGCCTCTTCTACATTACCTCTTTAACATCTATGATAATTACCTCAGAAATTATCTCAGTTGCCTCCTGAGTGCATTAACAGAGGGATACAGATCAAGTGAGGTACTAATACCACTCTATAAAGCCTTAGTAAGACCACACCTAGAGTATTGCATCCAGTTTTGGTCACCACACTATAAAAAAGATGTTGAGACTCTAGAAAAAGTACAGAGAAGAGCAACCAGGATGATTAGGGGACTGGAGACTAAAACATATAGAGAATGGTTACAGGAACTGGGCATGGCTAGTCTAGTGAAGAGAAGGACCAGGGGAGACATGTTAGCAGTCTTCCAATATTTGAGGGGCTGCCACAGAGAGGAAGGGGTCAAGCTATTTTCCAAGGCACTCGAAAGCCAGACAAGGAATAATGGATGGAAACTGAATGAGATATTTAACCTGGAAATAAGGAGAAATTTTCTGACAGTAAGAACAATCAACCAATGGAACAGGCCCTCAGAAGTTGTGGGAGCTTCATCACTTGAGACTTTCAAGAAGCGATTGGACTCCCATCTGTCAGAAATGGTGTAGGGTCTCCTGCCTGGGCAGGGGGTTGGACAAGATGACCTACAAGGTCTCTTCCAACTCTGATTATCTGTTAAGTACTTTTTATGCACACTGAGAGTATATGCACCAAGACAAATTCCTTGTGTGTCTAATCACACTTGGCCAATAAAGAATTCATTCATTCATTCATTCATTCATTCATTCATTCATTCATCCACCTCAGCTGTCTCTCCTTCCAGCTCTCAAGTATGTCAAACTGAATTCATATGAATCCACCACCTAACCAAATTCAGGCTTGACACTCATTACTTAACGATGGTGTAACCAACGTACCTGGAAGCGGAATGAGTCACTCTCTGTTTCGGCTCCAGAGTGCCTGTACCAAATGACACCTTCATTGATGTCCTGTTGGGTGAAGGTGGTTGTTGGGGTAGCTCTACCACCACTGGCCAAAGGCTGCCATCCTAGTCCAGAATCATCGGCCAGCATGGGAACCAGAAACACCACTTCACCTAGGAAAGCAGGCAGAAAGAGATAGGAGGACACTTCGAGGAAGTGAATGTTAGGAGTTTTCAAAATTGTGGTACTTTGACGGACCACTAAAATTATGACCTTGAGATGTGAAGGTCCTAATAGCAATAGCACTTAGACTTATATACCATTTTACACTGCTTTACAGCCCTCTCTAAGTGGTTTACAAATTCAGCATATTGCCCCCAATGATCTGGGTCCTCATTTTACTGAAATTTGGAAGGATGGAAAGCTGAGTCAACCTTGAGTCGGTTAGGATTGAACTGCTGACAGTTGGCAGAGTCAGCCTGCAATACTGCCTTCTAACCACTGCGCCTTCTACTTCCCTAAATGGTACGATTGCACTTTCAGCTCAAAGCCCCACAGAACATGTGAAAATGTACTTTGTGCTTTGCAAAAAAGTACATTATTAAGGATGAAATGCCTACAAAATGAAGGAGAATATGTGTAAGAGAGATCTCCCTATTTTTCTACTTTCGAACTACTAGGTTGGCAGAAGCTGGGACAAGTAACGGGAGCTCACTCTGTTATGTGGCGCTAGAGATTCGAACCGCCAAACTGCCAACCTTTCTGATCGACAAGCTCAGCGTCTTAGCCACTGAGCCACCGTGTCCCTTATTTTCCCTGGTAGCATCCACCATGAGGAAGGTAACTTTCAACCTCCATGGCTTTTTGTTTCCTTATTTAGATTTTTCTCTCAGAACATTTCACTGCAAATCTCCCAGAAGAAGAATCGGATGCGTCTTACAACCTTTATAAAAACTGAACATTGTTAGAGACATCTGAACTGCTCTCAACAGTCATTCGATCAAAATGGTAGTCATGGTGGGATTCAGTATTCATGTCACTGCCTAAAGAAATCCTCTGGGCCAAAATGGGATACAGTCATTCCTGCCTTTAATCTCTTTTGACACCGGAGTTACAGATTTTATTACCCTGACAGTCTGGATATGGCTGCTTTATCTCTGTATTTGTGCTCTTGAGAAAACAGTTCCCGGAGGGGGCTTACTACTGAACGCCTGAATTATGTAGAATGCACACATCTCCATTAAATAACCTCACACACCAAAGTGATCTGGCACATAATTGATAACTCTTCCTCTTTATGCTTCTCTCCAACTTTTTCATTCATGCAGCAGCCACTAAATTGTGCTTTGAGTGTTTAAAGAAACACCCGAATAAATATTGAGGGCTGGTTCCAGGCAATTAGTAAGGCTCGGTTCCTCGTTGAGGAACCCCAACAGCAGAACCTCAAGTTATAGCCAAGACATCTTAGAAACTGATGAAGGAAATTCCCAGCTTCAATTATCGATTATTATGAATTACATCCAATTATTATGAATTACATTCATTAAAATGGAGTTTCTTGGACTTGTTTGAACCTCTTTTTCCCACAATGTAAAACCAAAAGGGCTAATTGCCCTCATTCCAGCCTAGTATTGCAATACATTAAATTCATTAAATAACCTATTGAAAGCTTTCGGTCATTCTCTTATGCAAAGGACTGAACGGCATACAATTTTAGAGGGATAGTTCTGTGTAATTCGTTTATTTAAAGATCGACCTCTTCCTTTTTTAACCTATTAAAGATAGGCGTATCTATCACCAGACCTTCCAACTTTGTTATTCAACTGCAGTTGGGAATCAAAACCTTCCAATGGATGTTTTTAGAGTTGTGCAATTATAAATATAAACCAAGCAAGCTTGCTATTCAGCCTGGCTATTAAAAAGAGCTTGCGGGCGGGGGGATGCTTGATATAATTCGAAGTTGTCCTATCTCTTGTTTGTGTTTCTGGAACGTGTGAAAAAAAGTAATAAGGGACAAGAAGTTACTTTTCCACAGAAATTCTTGCAGAAAACATGAAACAGGAAGTAAGGAACTTCTCCTCCGCCTGGGCCACACAGCTGCTGCTGTAGTAGTATTTGTACTTATATCACAATCCCCCTTTTACACATGCAGCAACCGTATGGCTCAGCTTCCCGCAGTGTTCCTAGCTTCTTTACGAGCCCAGAATGGATCTCCTGGGAATGGCCCAGTCATTCAAGTCTTCATTCTCTTCCTTGGCCGAGGCTGTTAAAACAGTCTGGGGACCGATCTTGGCACTAAGTGGGATCCCTTCTGGCAATGCTTTATGAGAATCTGCCAATGCTATTTCCAGTGATCTGCCCATCTACTGCGCTTGAAAGCTGATTTGAGATTGATGATCTGTAACCCGCCTGGAAGTTATCGTTGGCTTATTATGGTTGATTATTCCAGCATCTGCCTTACAAAGGAGCAAAAAGGCAATTTTTTCTCTCTAGGGGAAGGATTCCGGTGCACAGAGATCTACAGCCACCCATGCATTTATTTTTAAGAATACCTGTTAACCAGGGGTGGGATTCAAATTTTTCAACAACCGGTTCTGTGGGTGTGGCTTAGTTGGTGGGTGTGGCTTGGTGGTCATGTGACTGGGTAGACATGGCTTGGTGGTCATGTTATTGGCTGGGCGTGGCCAACTCAATATCACTCACATCGAGGCACACATCTCCTTGCCTGGCCTCTCATGACTGTGGGGATGCTCCAACAGTCGTAAGGGTGAAAAATGGTCATAAGTCACTTTTTTCAGTGCCATTGTAACTTGAAATGGTCACTCCACACAAGCAAAGTAGCAGCAAAGAAGGGGGAAAAAAGTCCAGAGACGTTCCTGAGACAGGAAGTCTAGTCCTGCCAAGAATGTAATAAGGGTTAATAGCAAGGCAATTTCTGTAAGCAATACCAGAATGTTTCCTTCCTGCCTTCCTTACAGGATTAGGCCAATAATTTCTTCTAACAACCGGTTCTTTGAACTGCTTAGAATTTTAACAAACTGTTCTAGCGAATAGGTGCGAACCGGTAGAATCCCATGTCTGATGTTAACAGCAGACCAACAATCAAGAAGTAAACAATACCCCAATTCAGGAACTGTCAAACAAGATAACAGTAAACAGCCCAACCAAAGTACCAACTAGACTAGTGATGGCTAATCTTTTTGTCATCACGTGCCTGAAATTGCACACACATGCGTGCACCCATAATGCAATGCACAAGTGACCCCCCCCCCTGCCCCCTGAGCATGCACATGTACCCCCCTGTGCCGCACACTTCTGCGCATGTGCACAAAAGCCCCCTCCCCCACGTGCATTCCACCCCCGCACATGCATGCGTGTCTCCTGTGCGCGTGTCTCCCCCACGCATGTACGGCAGATACCTGACAATCAGATGGCGGGCGGGGAGTATGCGCGCATGCGCAGTGGGTCTGTTCCAGGCGACGGATCGCTTGCCGGCAGAAATAGCTCTGCGTGCCACTTCCGGCATGCGTGCCATAGGTTCACCATCACCGAACTAGACCAACAGGAGAAGCCACTAGAACAGGGGTGTCAAACTCAAGGCTCGGGGGCTGGATCTGGCCTGCGGGCTGCTTAGATCCGGTCCGCGGGGCTGCCCTGGAAACAGTCAAGGACCAGCCCCAGATAAAATGGAGCTTGGGAGGGCTGCAGGCGGCCCTCCTGAGCTCTGTTTTCACTGGCAGAGGGTTGCAAGAAGTCATTGCAGCTGAAAATGGAGTTTGCGAGGGCCGTGGGTGGCCCTCCCGAGCTGTTTTCGCTGGCAGAGGGTTGCAGGAGGCTGTTGTAGCCAAAAACAGAGCTTGGGAGCCTATTTTTGATGGCAGAGTGCTTGGGCCACCACAGGCACCCCCCGACATGAGTGACATCGAGCTGGCCATGCCCACCCTGGCCACACCCACCCTGGACCCCAGAGATCAAACACAACCCTGAAGTGGTCCTCAGTGACATCAAGTTTGACACCCCTGCTCTAGAATATAAATTGAGAACAAAATCCACTCCTACTACCACTGATGATGTTAGCTAGTTTGGTAATGAAATGTCTGCAGGAAAACAACCAAGCTCAGAGAGAACCAAGGACCCATCAGAATACTATTGCATGGGTGTGCATGCCCTGAGGCAGGTTTAAGAATTATACCGTGCATTATAGAGCATGTCCAGGGTTCCAGAAATTAGCAAGATACCTTCATGTTTCCCTCCTCTTCATTATTTATTTTATTCTATTTATTATTTTTATGGGGTTTGGTCACAACCAAATTTCCCTCAAGTAAACTGCAGCTCCTTTTGTCATCAGTAGGGGGAGCAAGAGCACTAGAGTGGTGTTATAGCTAGTGTTATAGCTCCCTCTGCTGATAAAGAAAAGCACTGCTTTAAAAAAAAATAAGAAAAGGTTAAGAAATAAGTCACCAGACCAAGAGATTGAGAACTTAACACATTTTTTTTCTTCCTTTAACTCACCTTCCTAAACAAGCAAACCAACAAACAAACAAGATCCAGAAATCTCCCACCCATCTAAAAGGTTCTGGGAAGCACAGAAAGGAAGTTAAGCCCCATTATCTGTAGTTTTCACATCCTTGCTAGACTGAGTTTGTGTAGGTCCAGGGATATTCTCATTAATAAAAATAATGAAGGAAGGTTATTACCCTTTGCTTTCTTGCATGCCAACTTCAATTTTCCTTTAATTGGATTCCTTTAATTAAAGGAATCTTTTAGATAAGATAAGCTAGCAGCCAAAGAGGTATCCATTGACAACCGTCTGCCTAGACTTAGCATCTGAAAAAAGACAAAATTAAACTACCCTAGGAGATGTCACATTTCGAGGATTCCCTCCAGGTGTATGTTTGATTCCTTTAAATGAGGTTAATTTTGGTTTTCCCATAGAGACTTTCAGTCTCTAACTGCTGGGTATTATGAAGGTCGAGTGGCCACTATATAAACAACTCTAGTTAGGAAAGGTTACCCTGTTCAGTCATAACATTTCCATACGGATGTTGGGCAAATCTTATTTACAAAATTGTTAAAAGACTGCGATGTCCGTGTGTGTGTGTGTGTGTGTGTGTTCTGCGTATTCTTAAAGGACAGCCCCATGTAGAGAGCATTGCAATTAATTAATCTATAT